AATTAGAAAAGTAACCAAGACATATACTATACAAAAAATAAATGTAAGAGTAAATCGTATCTAGAGTTAGAAAACATCAATCAGATCATCTATACTTTGCCATACAAAACACACAGTAGGCAATGAAAATTTAACAGGCATATCAGAACAGGATCAAACATCTAGAAACTAAAAAAAGAAGTCAACAGAAGGAGATCTCAAAATTATATGTATTAGACACACATTAAAAATAACTGATTAAAATGTTCAATAAAAGACTAGGAAAAGCACCAATGTGACATCACACTGTAGCATATAAACAACAACAATAAAGTCTTATTATGTAGTTTCATTCTTCAAGTATCATATATGAAATATGATAATGGTAGAGGATGTTCTATGGCCACTGCATTCACATGTAAGCAATGGTTACCACCTTACTTATATTAGGCTTCAAAAAAAAATTAAGGAAGAATGGTTTCCTTTCTGAGAAAAAAAAATTACCTGTGTAAAAAAAAAAAAAGAGTATAATAAAAAATTCATCAGAAGAGATATATTGGATTTTTTTAAAATTGAAGATTCCATGACAGGAAAGAAAAGGATAAAAATGGGGATAAAGGATAAATAAGTCAAATGGAAAACAGGAAAATGACAGAAACAATACCAGTTACAATAACTTTTTATTTACATGTACTAAATATTTTCATTAAAAAATAATGAGCCTTACTCTTAAGTGAAATAAACAGGACACATATGTGTAAATACCGAATAGTTTCTCTCGTGTGAAAAACTAAAAGTGTAAATAAGGTTCAAATGGTATAATTGATAATGTGAAATAGGAAGAAAAGGTCTAAAGCAGTAGGCGGAGTGGGAAGGGTAAGGGAAAGGAAAGAAAGGAAAAGAAAAAATATGAGAAAAGGAAAAAATGGAAACAAAGTCTTTGTAATAGGGAAGGGTAGAGGGGATGAAGGGAGGGCAGGGGAATGGGGAAAATATAAGAACCAAGATACATCATGTAAAGGTACAAACTCCCAGTGATGATTGTAACAGAATTGTATACCTAAAAAGTACCTTAATGAAATAATAAACTTAATAAAAATAAACTTAATAAACTTAATGAAAAAAAATTAGCCAGGCATGGTGGTGCACTCCTGTAAACCCAGCACTCTGGGAGGCTGAGGTAAGAGGTTTGTTCAAGCCCAGTATAGACTGCTTAGCTACCTAACAAGACCCTGTCTCAAAACAAAAAGTACTGAGGATGTAACGTAGTATAAGGCACTGGGTTCAATCCCCAGTACTATACCCGCAAAAGAGGCTTATTAGAAGAGTTTCCTTAAAATTGAAATATCTGCTGTCTATAAGAATATAAGGTTGATAGTTAAAGGATAAAGACCTACCACGAAAGCACTAACCCTTAGAAAGTTGATATAACTAATAACATAAAAAATTGTTCAGATAAGAATTATTACTGTAGATCAAGAGGTATATTTTGTCATGATACAAAAGTCAATCTATCGAGAAGATATAATAAATCTGTTTGTGTCTGCCTAATGATAGAGCTTCAAACTTTCAACATCTAAATCAATGGAATGATGAAAATTCATTTCAATGTACAGTAAGTGACTAACATTCATTTTGCTTCAGATCTTGGAATATTTTGCATTATAAAAATTATAAAATATTTTCTCCAAGTATGGTTATAATTCCGGTTCTAGAATTTAGAAACAGTGACAATAAACATTGTATTTTTATGCATTAAATTTGTCTAATAAAACTTCTATTGGACCACACTATGGTAAAGCTCCACTTTATGTGAATCAATTTTGTCAAAGAATATATCATAAGAAAGATTTTAAAACATTAATTCCATGGAAATGAAAACTTTACAAATAAAGAGGGGAAGAGGAGTTGAAGGAGGGGAAGGGATTGGGGGGAAAAAAGAATCAAGAAGTATCATGTACAGGTACAAATATGCTATGATGAAGATGATCCATTATATATACCTAAAATGTACCAAAAAATTAGTTTCTAACAAACTTAAATAAAAATTAAAAAGGAAATAAGATACTGATTTAAGAAGAAAAACAGCCAAAGTTAAAAATACTGATCCAGGAAGAAAAACAGCACTTTTGAAATAAAATTATTTTAAGAAAACAACCAAAGCTGGGCATAGTGGTACACACACCTGTAATCCCAGCACTCTGGGAGGCTAAGGTAGGAGCAACAGAAGTTGAAGCCCAGGCTGGGCAACTTAAGATCCTGTCTCAAATTAAATGTAATAAAAAGGGATACAGCTCAGTGTCAGGGTCATGGGATCAATACCAGTACCAAATAAATAAATACTTTAAAAATTTTTAAACAATAATTGACTCCTCAGTGATGATCTTGGGACAATGAACAAAATGATCTTGGAAGGGTCATAGCATGAACTCTGATAGTACCTCTAACACTGATGATAAATTATAAAACCATTCCACATAATTCAACAAGGACACTGTAAAACTTAGGCTTAGAGAACAGCACCTATTCAGCGCCACTAGAGAAAGTGATAATTTTCTGCTTATTATCCAAATAGCTTTATTATGACCAATGTGATCTAATTATCTGATTTTCACTTGGTAGAACAGTACTGTTGACTAATACAAGATGACTATTAAAAAAAACCTATATTGGGCCAGGGATGTAGTGGCACCACGCCTGCCTTGCAAGCACAAGGTCCCAAGTTCGTTCCCCCATACCAAAAAAACAAAAACCAAAAAATCCCACTATATTGCTTTGATAATTAATTGCTCTAAGGAAAATCTGGTATTTTCAAAACCCAACCTATACTCATTTTTCACATATTTTCTTCCTCATATTTTTAATCAAGAAACATTTATTATGCTGTTAGTAACATTTAGTTTGCATATGAAAAAATATAGATATATACATATATACGCATAGGTAAATATATTGAAAAATATCTATAATATTTGGCAAAAAAAAAAACAAAAACAGGGCTCTTTCTCTCAAATGATTTTCTTCTTACTACATTTTTGTTTGATTACTGGAATTTTCTTGATCTGACATTCTCCCAGTAATAGTACAAAACAGTCCGTAAAATTTCATAAAAAATAGGCAAAATAAAAACCTCTTCTTTTTGACTTTTACTAAAATATAACATAAATTGAACATCTATGATATACCAGGTACTTTACAAATATTCTTATTTAATTATTATTCATATATCTCAGAAGAACAAATTACAATCACAGAGGTTAAACATCCGCCAAAGGTTATGCACGTAGTAAGAAAAGCCAGGTTCTGATCATGGGTGCATCCGTTTACCGTTTACAACACCAAAACCCACTACCAGCAGCTGTCAAACTTAAGAGACAGAGCTGATATTGAAGTACTGCCGGCCAGTCTATCACAACTACTCAACTCTGCTGCAGCACAAAAGCAGTCACAGACAAAATGCAAACAAATCAAAGCAGCCATTCTCCAGTAAAACTTTATGAATAAAAGCATGTAAGTAAGCAGAAGGCTAAATTTAATCCAAGGTCTGCAGTTTGCCAATCTCTGCACTATACCACAATGCATTTCCTCTTGCAGATCTTTTAGCTTTTCAGGGACACCACTGAGTTTCCTTTTCTCTCACTTTTAAAAGAAGTATGACCTTAATCCCTTTTCTTATGAGGTTTAATTACATGGAAGTTTACTCAAAAGACTCTTTTACATGTTCTAACTATAATACCAATTTGCCACAAATTCATCTATAAGTGAAATACTCACGAATATATAGTATGAGCATGCACTCACTATGTTCTCAGTGTGAATGTCAAGCACTTACACTAAAAATTGTTTTGATCTTTCTTCAGTTATTATATCTAATTTTAATTGCTCAACCTGTATTTAATCAGCATAATCACAAGGACCCATTAAAATATACACCCAAACAGCAATAGCAACTGTTCTTTCAAGTGTTTGAAATGATCGTGTACACTAAAACCATGGCAGCACACAGAATTTAAGACTCTGTCTCACTCTCTCCCTTATTCCTTAATTCAACAGTAATCTCACCATTTCTTTCACCACATAATTTCTTTAAATGAAAGATTTAAACATATACATCGGAAAGAAAATCCCCCCTTCTGCATCAGAGGTTTTACCCCCACCCTGCCTTGCGTCCTCTCTTACATTCCCATGCTCTGCTCTCATCCTCCTCTCAGTCACACATACACACTGCATCTTTACAACCCCAATTCAAGTCCAAATAAAATGGAAAGAGTCACAATCAAAAAACATACAAGACCAAACCTAGCTCTAAAACTAAAACCAGTTAAATAGTCACTTCCGAGATTTGTGCCTTCAGTACCTTTTTAACCTCTATTAGTCTGTGTTTCTGCCTGCGAGTACTGTGACCATTCAAAAAGGAATTAAGACGAGATGTCCACAGCTCAGTGCTGACACAGTCCATGAATCCAAAATTCTATTTGCTGCTATCATCACCACCTCCACAACTCCATTCTGGGCAAGCCTCAACATCTACTACACTTCCTCCACAGAGCAGGGAAAGCACGGCCACACACGGAACAAACAACTCTGTAAAACAATCTGCAAAGCCATTTTATTGTTGTGCCTAAAAGACAGGGGTGGAAGGAGTCCTTTTCCTCAAAAACTTAACTGTTCCTTTGACAACCTTTAAAAAAATTAACTAAGTCTGTTTTTATTCTGCAAAGAAATAAATTCAACTTTTTCCTTTGTTTTCCATTATTTCAAGCATTTTTTAAAGCAAGACACATACATGTGATCTACTGTGTTGTCTTCTAAAGAAAGCCACTAAACACAAATATATTAAAGGATTTCTTTTAAAGGAAATGTCACACTATCGTGTACCTTCTCAATTCCAACGTATTTAAAAATTCATCAGTTTGGGATTTATTTTTGTTTTTGTTTTCAATCTTCTGCAGTTAAAGGAACCACAATGATAACTGTATGTTACATCTGATCTAACATTAGTGCATATAAATGTTTCTTACCAAATTATGCTTTTTTAGTGGAAGAAAATAATAATAGTGGCAGAAAGAAAACATCAGTGCGTAGCAAGTAAGAAGTTCAGTGTAGAAACACAACTGCAGAAAAAGCCAATGATTATCTTCACCAACACAATTGTTAATCCTGAAGGGGAAAAAAAAGAAAAAGGAAAGAAACAATATTTTAAATTTTAATAAGATGCTCGTTTCACAATCAGTAAAACTAAAGACAAGCTCATAACTTCACATACACTTTATGCTGCAGCCACTGCCCTAAAAGCCAGCTGTGTAAAGATATAAACACACTATCTCACATTAGTGAAACACTTTCTACCCTATGAAGGAAGTTCACACTTACAACCGTCCTTTCTCTTGCAACAACCCACTGAGGCAAAGCAGATGGTAGGTAGTCTCCCATGTCACTGGTATGGAAGTGGAAACAAAGGACTAAGCCACCAGCCAGAGGATGTATAGCCAGAGGAGAAAGGGGCCAAGACAGGAGGAAGAAAGAACCCTTGTCCAGCACAGCATTCTAGCTGTGGAGCAACGACTTGAATGCTTTAAAGTAAAATAGCTTAAATTTGGCCACAATGAAATACTTGCTGAGTATTCCATTTTTCTTATGTTTTTAAAAAACCTATGCAAGCTAGCTAAAAATAAAAATGTATTCACAACTACTTACAAACACTCACAGCTACACTTCTACCAATACAACAGTGAAATCTAATAAAAAAAGACAATTACAATCCCAGAATTTTCAATTTAGGTGGAGTATTTTACTCTTCTAAACTTACTGTGCTCAAGTTTTCAATGTATTGTAAAATTTCAGCAGATAAATCTAGTTTAAAATTCCAGCAGAAAACTCTATTTCAAAATTACCTTGTATGAATGTTTTCATTTCAAAATAGTATTATATTCCCATTGGGGAATAAAATGATATAATATGTTCTAATCCTAACTTAAATTGTTGTTTTTAAGATGTGTCATTAATCTCTGTTTTAAAATCAAACACAGCCAAGTGTGGTGGTGCACACCTGTAATTCCAGCACTTGTGAAGCTGAAGCAGGAGGAATGCCATGATTTCAAAGGCCAGCCTGGGTTATATAGTGAGTTTAAGACCAGCCTGGACTATACAACAAGACCCTGACTCAAAAAAAGAAAGGAAAACACCAAAACCTAAAAAAGAAAAGAAAATATAGAATTGCAATGAAAACCTTCTGGAAGAATATCTTAGAATTAATTGCACATGATTTATAAACAAAAAAATAGTATTTTTGTTATCTGCAAGCAGGACTGTAAGTGAAGTGAGCTTAAGAATGCCCTCAAAAATGCTCTTTTTCAAATTGTTGCTTCAAAGATGACATCCTTGTCCCATCCTTCCTGTGCCCAAGAAGTTTGAAAATTGTTGGGATCACAGCCTCCTTAACCAGAAAGTTTTAAGAAGCACTAAGGTACTCAATCAATACGAGTCCTTTTTTAAATATTTCAGCTCCTTAGAAATATGATCAAAGCTAAAAATACAGAAAACCTTGAGGCAGTCTGAGAACTGACTTCCAAATCTAAAGCTGCTGGGCAGTTAAAATAATGCAATTTCTGAAAAATATCAAATATTATCCCTGCTTCCAGTTTGTACCATACATTTCCTTCCCTCTCTGAATATTTCAACAGTCCTCTACAAGGGAATTAAATCACAAAAATTCCTAATTCTAGTAGGTGCAATAAAAAAATATGGTGCATGTTTACACAAAATTTGTTTTTAATTTCTTGCACTGAAAGACACACTGCCACCTTGCTTTGAACTACGTATCCCTCCATGATTGCCACTTTCTGAAGCAGTTCTGGAAGTCGCCCTTTGTGAGTGTCATTAGTTGTCCTTTCATAGCTGCCTCAATATCCTAAATAAAATCAAAATGTTTATGGCAGTTTTTGTCCAAAACATTGTGATTTATGTCCTCCTCCACCTGTTTACCAGATCTGGCACCATCTGACTTCTAGTCCTTCCCCAAATGACCATGAAATATAAATGTTTTGAATGGATTCAGGACATGCAGCCAAGCCAGGAAAACTAAAGATGATCACAAAAGAGGACTTCAGAAAGTGACAAGAATGATGGGATCAGTGTTTGAGGCAGGGGGGAGTATAGTATTTTGTAGAGTATTAATAGTAATGTCTTTCACTATAATTTTTTTTTTAAACCGGGCCTATGTACTTGCAAGGCAGGCAGTAGAACCACTGAGCTAAATCCCCGACCCTCACTGTTATAATTTTTTAAAACTTAAAATATTTACCATATTTTTCAACCACGCTACATACATAGACCCCTGTTCACCCTTGTTTCCAATATTTTGGTCTTTTTAAATTCCCCTCTTCCTGCTACTAGTACTCCAAAAGTTGACTAAAGCTAAGGAAGTGATTACCCTAGAAACAGAGAAATCATGCCAGTGTTAGAATTTAGGTGGCTTGTTGGTCACCAACAAGCTTGTCTTTATTTCTTAAAAGTAAGCATCATTAGTCTCTACATTTCTTAGCTGATTTTTTTTAAACCTTTAAACTACAGCATTCTTTTGCAAAACAGCACCAATATCCAACTGTGCCATGAACATTTACCATATTTTTAATCAGAAATACTACTACAAAGTGTTTAAAAGTGTACTCACCACTTACCTGAAATCATGTTTCACACAGCTTTTAAAAATCTATTATTATTATGACTGCAAACATCATGGAGATTTATAGTTACGTGGGAATTAATCTGTTTTAGTTTAAGGCACATCTTTTGAACACTGTATGTCAAGTACTATCTTGTTGACCAATTTAGACAATTATTAAAATTTTTAATACAGTAACAAAGGGTTTTTTCTCTAAATTATTCTTACTTTTTCTAATATAATTTAATCCTAATAGAAGGAAATTACCTTCTACTATAATAATTAGTGTGTACTATGAACCTAATTTCCAAACTATACTAATAATTAGTGTATATTACGAACCTAATTTCCAAACAAACTTTAAGTTTGTTAATTAGCAATGTCATCAAAATAAGTCATAGAAGGGCCGGGGATTTAGCTCAGTGGTTCAGTGGTCTGCCTTGCAAGCGCAAGGACCAGAGTTCAATCCCTGGTACCAAAAAAAACCAAAACAAAACAAAACAAAACAAAAAAGTCATAGAAGACCAGAGATTTAGCTCAGTGGTTCCGGCTTCTGCCTCAAAAGCACAAGGACCCAAGTTTGATCCCTGATACCAAATAAATATATAAGTCATGGAAACATGAGAAACAGTAAATTGAATAGCATTATTAGGCAATGGTAAATTATACTCTTCAGTTAACTTAGATAAATGCAGTTCTAAATCAAACTGTTATGCAGCAAACTTTATATGTGCATGCCTGCATGTACAAACATAAACATATGTATATAGATATATTTATAAAGTGCTACACTATGCATTTTAAATATTTCTATAAATCCAATACTAGAAAAACAGAAATGAATATATCTTGTTTTGTGATGCGTTTGAAATGAAAGACAATACAGAATTCTCACAGCATTTGTCTTCGAAAATTCTATTTTTCAACTGAGGATTTTCATTAAATATTACAAGAGAGCCCCCTATTGACCAAAACTTTGGCAGTGCAACAGAAATAGCTAATTACAATTAATACACATATGACATGCACAAAATGTTAATGCCTATATCCAATACATAATACTTAAAAAGGTTTAAAGAGTAGAAGTGCGCTATCAGGGTATTTGCAATGTGGTGTTCTTTATATGAACAAGAAAGGGGAAATATAAACAATGGGATGCATAGGACTTATTACAATAAAAAGTAACAGCAACTGCTTAAGTACTTCCTGCATGTCAGATACTGTACCAAGTGGTTCATACATAATGCCTCATTTAATTCACGCACCTTAGGCTTTTTGTATAATTGAGTACATATTATTATTAGTTTTCAGCTCAAACATTTCCTTGCCAGCAACAACAAAAGGCTGTGGAAAAATGACTTTGGGGATTGACAAGACAGCTACGATCAAATAAAGAATATTCTTATTAAATGTTCTGTTTTTTTTTTTTTTTTTTTTTTTT